AGTCGTGTTATTAACATATTTAATTCAAAGCCATTGAGATTTCTTAGAGTGATTGTATTCAGCATTTCGAGATGGGTTTAAATTTTATTAAAAAAAAAAACTTAATTTTCATTTTTCAATACATCACATGACTAGTCTGACAAAAGTGATGTTTCAAAAAATGTCCATAATGTATAAGATGCAAACTGTACTCGACGGGGAAAAAAATCCATCAATCTTATGACGAAAACAATAATGCGCACTAGATTTTTTTGGAAATAACTTTATAAATAGCGTAAAAGAAAAGTTAGGACACACAACATTTGAATACACGGACTTCCTAAGTATACACGAAAAACTTGTTATTTAATTAATAGTGTAATTTGATATTGAATTATAGTACAGTCGGGGATGACACATTTTGAGACATTTCATCGTTACAAACGCGAACGGGCACGCGTTGTGATGTCGAGTTCATAGTTCGGATAGTATAGTTCATTTCTGTAGTATTGAACTTCAGAATATCGTTTCATAAACGCCATAATTAATCGCTATTGGATCTAAAAGAACAGCACATCCGAAAACATTGATCGATATCAAGATACGGTTCCCGAAACAAAATAAAAACAAAAATCTATCAAAGTCCGCAGAAAGAAAAAAAACACCCAACGAATGGGGTACTGGTCGATAATAACCATCGCATGGGACCGAGACGATTCCAATGTTAGGTGTTTTGACGTTATAAATTGTGACAAGGTCTTGAACAACTCAAGGGTGGTATTTACTTAAATAATATTTCGTGTAGATTTTACGCGATTTCACGGATTATGAAAAGATAACAAATGTTGCACTGTGCTAAGAGAAAAAAAAACCATCAATAAATGTAACCTAAAGTATGCCTAATCACCGGATGAAAAATTTAATACTTGAACACTTGTCCCACGAACAATGGTTCAACAAGTTTTATATCGTCTTCGGCCGCAAAATGTTGCACTTTAAATGTTTCTACTGCCAAGGCAACTGTTTGCAACGTGTACATATATATTATTTAGTCACATGTTAATATCATATCACTGAAAATGTTTACTTTGAATGCATACTAAGAGTTATCGATCTGAAGCATTTGGATGTGACAGTTTGGCCGATGGGACATTTAAACGCAAAACGTTTAAAAGCAGTGTTAATTAATCGTAGAATATCTAAATTTATCGTTCAATATCATATCACTTATTGTTAATCGCATTTATTTTGCCTTAGAGCAATATTATTTTTACAGTTTCGTTTCAATTTCAATATCGTATCAATAGTATCAATGTTTTATTGCCACGACATGACGTATAAGTATAAAACAAATATTTTCAAAGTATTAGTGAATACTTTAGCAATTTTAATTTCTCGCTATAAAGTAATAAAGCTTAAATATATTCATGCAACTATTCAAAGTTCACTCGCGTAATTATAAAGGTACATTACACAGTAATTACTACTTCGTACGTGCGGATTTCGGGAAAAATTCATAATTGTTTCGTACTCGCGCCACGTTGTACTTAGTCCGTTAAGAACTCGTTTTGAAGATTGTTCAACAGAACTCACAAGAAATAGATGTAATATAATAAGACGTTCGATTGTCCGCGGTGACATTCGAGAATATGTGAGGCAACACTGACGACACGTGGAACGAAACACCGTAAATAAGATAAATGTGTTGGCAGGACAAGAAGGTTAGAAAAGTATGTAAAATTATTCGAGAATTATTCAGCGTTACATGGTAGAAGGGGTAAAAACGAGAAAAGGGCTGGGTACGGGGGAAGTGAGTGTTTAGGGACGAGAAATGGTATAATGAAACGAAGGACGCAGGGCGCGTAAGGTTGCGCATCTCGCGGGTCGGACAAAGGGGCGAAACGTTTGCGCGTCACGCTGGAAAAGTCATTTGGTCGGCCAATTCTGCGGAACAAGAATATAATACGCAAGTATACATGAATGGAAACAACAGGACCACAGACATACAAATCGCGACCCGTTCGCGTACGTGATAAGCAAATAGGCGTAAGCAATCGACGATTGGAAAATAATGTAAATTAGCGTCACGACAAATGGTCGAGACGAAATGACGCCTATCGTGCGCGTACGATAATAATATTACACTCATACCGTATACCTGTTAATAATTGTGTTCCGTCGAGATTAATTCGAACATACGCGCACACAAATGGCGTTGTGCGAGAGAAAACGATGAAATCCAAGGGAAGAAGATCATTGCTAATAAATTTACATTTCTACGGCGATTTCGAACGAAAACAGTAATATAAAGTCGTTATTCGAGTCCAATAAAACACTTAGTTTGTATACACATTTAATGGATAAAACTGTCTGTAATATAATGTATGCATGAACACTTTTCGAAATTTCGAGATCCGATATAGTATTCGAGATTTTACCTTCATTGCTTCCAACGTAATGTCACTTAGAATCGTTTTATGTACTATTTCAATCGTTTTGAACGCGTGAAAAATACGTTTTCTGTTTGTTTTATCGAATTCGTAAAAAGTTTGACATTTTATGATTTTCTTTATTTAATACTTTTTGTATCGATTCATTGTAAATGTCTTAATTTCGAAATAAATATTGGTATTATATAAATAAAATTAACAAGAGGTCTCATCGAAAATAGATAACCTTACGTTCTTACCAATCACAATAATGTAACTTACATTTAATTTTATCATTGTAATATTGTGATATCAAATGATTAACTATTATTTTAACTTTAATATGAACATTTAACATTTAAGAGGGCCAATGAAAAAAAAAAACATGTTTCGATAAGTATAGTAGTGTTTATTACATCAACGGAGTGGGTGGCATTTATCAGTTACAATTTACGGCATCTTTCAAAAAACATTTTAAAACCTGAAATTAATGATGAGTCATGCGATGTGATCAAAGCTAAATAAAACGTATACTCATTACTGTAGTTTACTGATAATGTGATCCTTAATCGTCAAGTATGATCATACTTATTTTACAGTGTCCGTCACAATGTCAACATTTTCATGTTATCAAGATAGAATATTATAATCGAACTGTACTGTAATACCTTAGGCAAATACGAAGAAGCATGTTTTGAATATGATTTCAAAAGTGAACCATAACACATTGAACCAAAATAAACCCAAATTAACATTAGGGACGCAATTATTGAAACGATTTTATTATTCGCGAAATAGATAACTGCTAGACGGATTCAAACCCATAGAGTTATTATTTATTTTACTTTATTTACAACCGGTAGTTTTTATTATTTTTTAATAAATGAATGCCGATATTGATCTTATGCGTTTAGAGATATTGCTATTTATATATTAACAACATTTATTTATTTATTATGTGTACAATCCAGTGTTTTTATTTATTTTGTTTCAAGGAAAAAATACTAATTTTCTCTTTTTCTTTTTGTCATAAATCAGATTTTTTATATACACAATTAAATCACATCATGATAAATAAATATTCACAATATTATTATTTAATTTTCTGTAATGGGGTGATGAAAAAATGTATAAAAACCTCTTTATAATGTCTACACTATAAATTCATTTTTAAAATTCAAGGAAATCAGATTTGGTATCCATAAACAAATGTCAAGAAAATGTCGGAATAGCTGTAAGACATTATTTTCTTGCGAATATACATTATTTTAAACGGAATTCACAAATACAGAATTTGTATAGTGTTTAATTTTTAAATTTTTATTTCGACCATCATATCAAGTTTTTGTTCGATAAAACAAAAAAAAATCCAAAGTAAATCCTAAATGGTTCACTAGCAACCACGCAATACACCCACACGCCATATATTTGTACTCGTATCGATAATTATAATTATAATATTAAACGCAGTAGTACATTTACAAATCAGTATCTATATACAGCATTCACTATAACATGAAATTTCAGCGACTTTGTGTACGTACACCGAAAAAAATTTATGCATATTGAAAACTATACGTTCAATTCCGGACACAATTTATAACACGGATCCAAAACGATTAAGTCGAAAATCTGCCTAATACAGAATACTCATGAAGTCCTTCGTGACTCCGTTCCGTTTTGATTTTCTTGTGTACGTATCGCATTTTATAATTCACCAATACGTACTTATTCAACGCCATATGACCACTGCCGTTTCTGACGGGTTTTGAGACACGGTGCAGAATTTTATGGGATTTTGTATAGTTTGAAAGATAAACATTGAATGTTAGAAATTTTAATTTTAATATAAACCTAACAAAATATATCCTTATCTATATATAAATGAATCCCTATTTCCCTTGGTCATGCGTGAACGGCTTGACTGATTTCTCTAATTTTTTTTTTTTTTTTTGTTGTGTTTGTTATTATTAGGAGAAGGTTCTTACGAAAGAAAAAAATAAGAAAATTGCTCGGAAAATAAGAAAATTTAATAATTCTTATCTACCATATAAAATTATTTCTAATATAAACTTAGCGCTTTGGACAATATAAACTTTTTAATGTAACATTTTGACGTTTGACATAGAATTAACAGAATGCGTGCTGCAAATATCATCAAAGAGGATGTAGAAAAACTGAATATCATTTAAAACAGATGTTTCGGTCTAATTAATATATCTATTAAAGTATCTATATAAGATCACTGAATTTCTTAGTGTACCTCACCATCAGTTCAGAGCCATCACGTCTAATATTAAAAGTTCGACATGCAAGTTGAATTGCAGAACGACCGATCTGGAGAAGTTTTTTCCAAACAATTGCTCGTTATTGGTAATGGCAAAATACCATTTGACATATCGTCTGGATAAATCATATTTCCTAACAATTTTTGTCACTATACTGAAACTAAGATCGAACTCATCGAGAAGGTTTTCTCAACCATTGCTCAAAATTACAAAGATCGTGTATGGTTGAGTGAAAGAGTTATATTGGTTTTAAAAAACGTTGATGTCAACGAAAAAATTTCAATTTAAGATAGCTGGATAATTAATGACATACAAATCGATTGATTCCGTTACTAACCAAGATGATGCTGTAAACTATCCAACAGAGTTTTTGAATTCGCTGGAATTACCTGGATTACCACCTCATAATCTGAAATTAAAAATCGGTTCGGCAACCATTACATTGCGGAATATAAACCAGCCACGACTTTGTAATGGCACCCGACTTGCGGTGAAGAAATTAATGAACAACGTCATGGAAGTTTTGAAAGGGAAGTACAAAGGCGAAGACGTTTTGATTCCAAGGATTCCTTTGATTCCGAACGACATGCCATTTGACTTTAAACGGTTGCAATTTCTAGTGTGGCTGGCATTTGCAATGTCGATAAATAAATCTCAAAGCAGTCGCTAAGTGTTTGTGGCATCAATCTTGAAAATCCATGTTTTTCACATGGTCAGTTATACGTCGCCTGTTCCTGTGTCAGAATACCAACAAAACTATACATGTACGCGTAAGAAAAAAAAACTAAAAATGTTGTATATCATAAAGCATTAAAATAATAACACTTATTTTGAAAAATTTTTTTTATTAATTATACCAATTCGAATTCAATATTTATAATTAAGACAGGAAAAGGTCTGTTGGGTCAGCTAGTTAGTTAAGATATTATTCATAATAGTGTGATACGAGTATATATGATGTAATGATAAAATATTTACTTTTTTACAAAATTGTTACACATGCAATTCGTACATTTAGGTTCTAATATTTTAACTATGATTTTTTATCATTTTATATAATTATTTAATTTTGTAAATTTTCATTAAAAAGAAAAAAAATGTATTTAATTTTTTATAACGAACTCTCTCAATTCAGTACAAGTGTTGTTTTTAAAATTAATACCAGATTCTCAGTCATATTATATATCGTTCCATTTGTATTATTTATTGAAATCTTGGTGTCAATAAATGTTATTATCATTATTCATTATAATAATAAATAATGAATAGTTGAATAATGAATAAGGAATAATCAAACAATAAATAATCTAATAAATAAACAGATCTGAAATAATGAACAATGAATAATTGTAAAAATTAAAACTATGAATAAAAATAAACAAATTTAATCAAATTAAAAGTAAACGAATAAAGATAACTTTTTAAAAACAAATAATTAATCGAATCATTTTATTAATGATTTCATTTCACAATTTCACTAACTCCCAACTATAATTATATTATGATAAATTAAAATTAAATTAATTATTATTTATTATTTTTTATTTTGTTATAATTATTTTATTGATATTATTATTTGCATTGATATAAAGATATATTGTTATTATTATCTTGTTACAATATTATTGACAATTAATTAAATTTATTTATTCACAAATTAAAATATTTATTTATTTACTTTTACTCAATACGGAAACTATTTAAAATAATATGTATATTATTCTTTATTCATAAAATAATCCATTATTAATGGTTAAATTTTCCATTCCTAATTTTGATTATTTTTTTTTTCTGTCCAACTTCGATTGCAGCATCGTCTTCCACGTAATTTTAACAATTAGATGGCGAATTTGTAAATTCTACGAGCGCAGTACCCACAAGGGCAATAATCAAACGACATCGGAAAAAAATAGTATTTTCACACAACAATACGTATAAGATGTAAGTGTTAAAATATTACTTAGGACTACTTATGTGTACAGCGTTCTGTGAGCATGTATAAGTCTTTCAACAGCCATTTTGTCATCGATAATCGCTTGCTTTACCCCCGTATACACATTCATCATACACGTTAATCATGTGTGTTTGTCCACTACTTGATTACATTTTCTGAGTCTTGGAGGTAAACATATAATGTGAACTCCAATATAAAGCATATCATACCATGTGTCTCCTTCGACATGGTTGTAAATATCTTAAGCTGCATAATACAATGTGCAGATTTATATGGATTTAAAACCAACCAAATATGGGCTAAAAATCTTAATTACTTACAAATATATGTCCTTAAATGTTAAAATATACATAAAAAAAAACTAAAATTTAGCAGAAAAAAACATTAATTTTTCGAACATTTAATTAAAATATTTCATTTAAAACTACAGAACTATATTTTTATTTCTTCATATTTTTAAATTTATTTACCATCATCATTTTGTAGGTAGTTTTAATATACAAGAAAAAAAGGAAACGATTAATTTTAAAAATGTATCTTAAAAGAATTTTTTTACCTAAATGTGAATTGTATTGCACGACAATCATTTTAGCTATATTTTCAAAAAACATTGGTTGGCGTTTATCAACAAATTCTTATATCTAGAAAATAACTTTTCCTCGTTTACGAGAGTAAGTGTATTAAGTGTGCTGATTTGAATTGTTTCATTTTCATCATTTAAAATGTTTAATATTTTAGCAAGTGTATCGTATATTTCCTTTTTTTGATAGTACTTTTCTAAATTATTCATAAACAGATTTACCCTTTATATTAAAATACTTAGTAAATACTTCAAAAATATCTAAATAAAAACATCGAAAAATGCACTTAAAGATGAAATATGCAATTGAAATCATAAAATAATCGCTTGAAACAAAAAATAAAAAAAATTAGTTAATATTAAAATATGCAAAAATATTCACTAAAAAAGTTTAATTGCTTAATCGTTATGCCATGAAACAAATGTTGTGCTAACTTAGCATATCATACGACCATTGAGAGTAAATATGCAAATGCAGATAAATCCTCGGTTTAGCGATAGTCAATTTTTTTTTTAACTTTTTAATACAGAACTCAACGATTGTCAGCGTGCAACAGAAGTATACGTAACTGCACTTTTTCCAAGTAGTTTTTATTTTCATAGGAAAGACGTTATTAAAAATAGGCTTTCTAACATAATTTTGTCTGTTTCATAATTGGGGGAGGGGGGGGAGAGAATCGATGTCATATTTAAAAATCGAATACGTACTCAGTAGGTTGTCAAATATAACTATGAAATAAATCAGCAACCGTATGGATGACGCACAGGAAAAAAAAAACACAATCGACGAATTGAAATGAACTCATTATTCCACATAATCTCATTTGACTCAAATGTATCGAAGATAACTTGAAGTCATTCAACTTTATTGCTATCAAAGCGTCCCGTATAATCTACATCGTATTCGTGCGCTGTCGAAAATCGGAACATGAAGATGTGGTAATGGTTTTTCGTTAAATCGCTGGTAACACAATACCAAACACGTCTGAATAATAAATATAGATCGGTTAATTTTCTAAACATATTCGTTTTGACGTTTACTCTGAAAACACCATCGCTTTCGTCTGTATCACAATCACCGGTCAACTTACCGAAACATGCGAGCGGTCGTCGACAACAACAACGACTAGTGGCTGCGTCAGCGATACCTATTTCAACAATTACGCAGTGTCAATAATTATTGTCATCGGTGACGGTACGATTTGCGATCGGAAAACGAACAGTAAGACAGAGCGACGGAAAGCGAAAGAGCACGCGTGATCGTGATTATACCGTTACTCAGGAGTTGGTTAACGTTTTGATTGAGACGCGCCAGAAGAGTATGTACTATAAATGAAATACACGCATCGAGATCAAGCGGTCACAGGAACGACGAGCAACACTAATAACAGCGGTAATTGTAATGATTAAACGCGAAACTGCAACGGGATCGAATCGAGCTTTACGCGTATAATTTGATTTCATTCCGCAGATGTAGGAATACGATACACGCTTGGTTATAATATTGTACATTGTTGTGCACGTGCAAACGTAGTAGTTTGGAACGAGGGGAGCGGTTACGATGTGTCGCGGTCGAATAATAAATGTGTTTTATTCCGTATTGTATAGGTTTTCAATTTCCACTAGTACAGTTTCATTATAATTTGTTTGTGTTTATTTTTGGTTTTTTTTTTCATATTTTTTTATTTTTTTTAATGAGTAAAATACCATAAATTTTGACTAAGCAACATAACAATACACGACCGACATGTTCTGTTGAAAGCAAACAAACCCATATGTAAAGATAGACGGAGCTGAGCTACCGGGCGAGGGAGCGAGAAGTATAAAACGGGAGTACGGTAGGCGAGCGGGTCGAGAGAAAAGTGTTGAGAGAGAACTCGTACAGAGTTAGTACAAGCACGAGTAAACGCTGTGCAAACGAATTTGTGTGTCTTCTCCTCGTCCCACGCGAAAAAAAAAAAAAAAAAACAATCCCTTTGCATACTTCACTACGGTATTTTATTTACACATAATTACATAACATTGACTTAAGTATGTTTAGGTTTAATTAATTTTCGCTGTCGGAGATAAAAAACAGATTAATTCTCTTTCGTTACGAACTCCGCTGTTTGTTTTTCGAACACATTTGTTATCCAACAAAATGTTAATGGTTTTCAGTTTGTCTCCTGAGCGTGTAACATCAAACGGTCACCGATATTGTTATATCGTCTCCACGCTGCGTATCTTAATTTTTTCATAATATTTTCATATTTTTATCCGTTAACTACAACCGTGATTTGTGGTTCTGCATTATATCTACCATATTCGTATGGGTGTTTGTGTGTTATAAGACTTACGGATACATAAACATATTAATAGGAACACGTTTTAACGGTAGCTAATAATGTAACCGTACTACAATATTCTACTGTTAAAAAATACGTTACGATGTTTGGTAGAAATTTACCTAATATATTTATTATGACCATCGTCGTTCCCTTATACCGTTCTCCCGTTGTACTGTTGATGTTATCATTTAAAACAAATACGTTATTTCTCTAACAATGTATTACTGAAATTGTATGTTTTTTTTGTTGTTGGAAATAAGGACGAAAAAAAGTTTAATTATTTAACCAAGGTTTTTGTCGTTTTTTGTTTTCCATTTTTTTTTTTTTTATCCGGAATTTAATTTAGTTACCTAATCTAAAATACTACATTTAATTTCGTAGTTCGAACACAACGGCAGTTTCAAAAAACAAACAGAGGTTGTGTTTTAATTTTATTCCGTTGGAAAATTGTACCTTGCGAAATAATAAAATTATATAATATGCATATCATTATTTTTTCAAATTATTTTTATTGTATCTGAGTTTCAATGTTTCAAGTGCGAATAATATAAAGTATACAGCTAAGTAAAATTAATTAAATTAGTGTTTATATATCGAATTATAAAATACTCTCGTAAATTAATAAAATGTGTATTTACTTTTGTTTGTAAAAAACTATTAAGTTATTGCGAGAATAAATATACAAGTTATTTCATCTCTGAATTAACTTTTTTACTCCAAAGTAATATTCGTAAAATATGTAGTAATTTAATTCGTGATGTAATCATTTTGTTTTCAAATCGTGATATTCAAAGTGAATAATATAATAT